AATGATAGGAATCACCATGATTATGTATTCTTCTTGTGTTGTATTTAGAAGAGATGGGTGATTGTAAATTATTATGGTTCATAAGTTATGAATTTTGTGTTGCACAATAGATAAAAGATTTATGTAAGTTATACAACGTCATAAGTTATGAATTTTGTGTTGCACAATAGATAAAAGATTTATGTAAGTTATACAACATCATGTATATAGACAAACAAAATAACATTATATATAAAACATATTTATTTGTTTGTTGTGTCCATGCCATGATGTATTCGTGTCTCGTGTCCACTGTGTATGCTTCCTTGGACAAAGGCTATATATTCAAATTTGATTTGTAAACCATGAGAAATACATGCCAAGCAGCAATGATATGAAGGCCAAATATAGGGCATACAAGATCTTGTCTCGAAAATTGTGGCATAATCACTGCTAATACGTGAAGAGCATTTGGGTGTCAGTATTCAGTTATGCGTTGGCATAGAAGAATGGCTAAAGGAGCTGAGATCGTGTCAGACAAAGTTAATCACCATTAAAACTGATGGGATTTTTGGGATAGACATTGTTCTGATTCCAAATTGTGCAATGAACTGATCAACAAAGGTGTGGGCAGCAATTTAAAAAGTTCAGCTGTGTGTAAATGATGTCCATAACAGGGTCACATTTGTCTCCCTTTTTCTTTTGCCACACACTAAACAGATTCTCAAACTTGTTCACTGGATACTGAATCATTTATAGTTTTTGCCATCTAGTTTCTGTCCAAAGTACTTGGGTCACTTCCATGTATAATATCAAGAAACAATAAACTTGTGTGTGAGCAAGCGCCTGTAAATGCGTGTGTTTATTGTCCTCGTATTCTTTCTGGTTAGAGCTTGACAAACATTACTTGACCCAATCCATACTGCCTAACCTTATGGAGCAACTAGCGGTTAACATGATATCAGATCTATGGCTATTCAAAGTCTTGGTTTCAAGTCTTTTGTATGAGTTTTCTCCCCTATTTAGTTTGAGCATCTAGTCTGTTCAATCAGTGTGTTTCTCTACACATGCTACAGGGAGCCCGTCTCTCTTTTGGTCTCATCTTGCTTACCTGTAGCGCAGAAGTTCCCTTAATCTGCTTCCCTGTGTCGCTAGTTGCCACTGTATTTTGACTGCACAATGAATATTCATGCATAAGGTTGATTAGTTTTGTTGAATTATGCCATAAATGATCAACTTCAAAGCAAAGCCAAGTTTTAGATGACAACAATGAACTAATGGATAAGATCGCTGTAGCAGAATTTGAAAACCACGTGTTTGAAATTGATTTAATTCATTTCAATGAACACTGCTTAGGTTTATAATAGTATTCCAGATATGTCCTTGCCTATCTTGCCTTAGTCGATGGATTTCTCTCGATTTTTCTTTGATTGTGACAACATCAGCTATTCCAAGATGATTGTGTTAGTACAATGATAAATATGTGCCTGTGAAGGCTAGGATACTTCCCCTCTTTTTCCTTTTTTGCTCTATGAAAATCATTCATTCAGCAATTTCAAAACTTCGATAATTTATGTAAATTTTTACATGAATGCCATATGGGAAGGATATTACAAAATTTCTCATATTTGATTATGTAATTGATGTGGTAGAATCACACATCCAGCCCCAGGGATCCCAGAAGAGTTCATTCAAGAGATGTTTCATCACAGCCAGTGTGTCTCAAGGGAAGGTCTTGGGCTACATATGAGCCAGAAGCTTGTCAAGATCATGAACGGCACTGTACAATACCTTAGAGAGGCAGAGAGATCATCCTTCATTATTCTAATGGAATTCCCGCTGGTTCACTAGATCACTCACCGATAAGTCCAATAATATGCAAGAGCAAAAGGAAAGTGGGGAGATATCTCCATGGCCACCTTTCCAGTGAAAATGAAGTCAGTGGCATGTCATCACTTGGCAATTGAGTGGCAGTATAGGTCGGGGTTGATCAATGATTGTTTTCAAGACAGAAGACACTGGTATTTTGCTACTCAACTTGCAGACTCGTGGTCCTTTTGAAAATTATGCATTGGTGTTAATTGTGGAAAATCATGAATTGTGTTAATTGTGGAATCCCTCCATTTGTAAGGTTCGTATGAAAAAGAATTGGTGTAACTTTAATAGAACCCTTCCATGTTCCGATCTTTGTATCATCATTCTTCTGTCTACTCGTGCCCCTGCAACACCTCAGTTCTTAGTGTTCTGCATGGAGTTCTCTCTTTCTAAGGACTCATAAGTACATTACGGGCACTTTGTACAGGCAAACCTCGTAACTGACATGGCTGTCGACCTAATACTTTGATCCAAATGTTTTATAGTGAATCTCAGGAGTTAAAAGGCCAGGCTGTCCGTATCTTGGTTGGTATCGAATTAATAGAAGTGTTCTGTTAACATGTGGAAGCTAGATGGACCAAATACACCCCCAAGCCACTTTCCTGATATCTGTTGCTAAACTGTGGCTGTTTTGAGGCACTCTGTTGTAAGTAGTTGCTTGATTACTGATTGTTTCAAGTTGGCATAGCAGCTGTCTTGTATATTGGTTATAGTTATTTTTCAGTCTTACAATGCTTATGTATTTTTCTGTCGAGGGTTGTTTTTTTTGTTTCCTCCTGTGTAACGCTGTATCTTGTAATCAATAAATTCCGGCTTATTTATCCCAAAAAGATTCTTAAAGCTTCCTCAGCATCAGAACCTGAAAACGTATTCCCTGTAAAGAGAACTTTGTTGTGTACATCACCTAGTCAGCACTTATGTGGGCTGCATGCTTATGTTTTTGCTGTGATTTTCCTTTTTTCATATTGTGGTCTACCAGATTCAGCTACAGAAGTTCTCATCAGGCATCAAAAGAGCAAACAAACTCTAGTAGAAAGATGTTGGCTTTGATGGGCTTGATTAGGGACCGCCTTTCCACTGAATCAAGACCCATGTTGGATGCTCATCCCGCTCCTTCGATATACAAACTGCAGCCTGTGTTCATTCAGGAAGAGGACTTGCAGTAACCCATCTCCCCATCTGTTTTTTTTTCTCTGGTATGCAGACTTTGCTTTGTTTTGTCTCAGTTTGTGGAGGGTTTGAGTTGGGACTTGCTATGGATGTTTCATTTTCAGATGTTCTGCCTTTATATGGAGAGATTGGATGTATCACTGGAAGGAAGACAGTGTTTTCCTTGATGCCTGGACATCATAAAGTTTCATGGAATTCGATTATTGGGGTATCTAGTGATTCTGAGGCATCCATTTTGGAAGCTGTGGGACATTTTGTTGAAATGAAAGGAGTTACACTAGAAGAAAAAAGGCATTTTTGCATCGCATTTTTCTTTTTGCGTGAAACAGTTATCCGGGCTTGGTCACTGCGACCCCTTTTGTGAGGAGGCGCCGTTCTCCCGAAGTTACGGGGCTATTTTGCCAACTTCCTTGCACAGAGTTGTTGCCCTAAACAAATGTTCTTGCAGCACTATCATCTCTTTCTCTTAAAGAACTGACTCATCAGATCTATGATCTTGTACCAAATCATAAAATCATGAAATGTGACTCAAAATGTAATTCTACACATGCCTTGTGAACCCGAAACTGACACATATTGGTTTTGGATTTAACTTTAGCAGCTTTGGATGGTAAACAAATGAACCCTGTTAGACCTGTTAAGTGAATAAGTAGACACGAATTTAGTTAAAACACACAAACCTAGCTGAACAAGATACGAATTCAAATAACACGACATGTTAAAATTTTTTTATGACAATTGGGAAATATGAATGATTACTCCTTTTGATTTCTTATTTCAACTCTTGTCCAGTTGAGTAAATGTGAGTGGATGTCCTGAGTCAGGAGTCGTTATTTCCACTGAAAATGTAAACTGATATTCTTTGTGTTGTCTTGAAGAATGCTTGTTTGAGTTCAAGCTTTCTTAAGCAGAAGATGCAATACTCCTCCATGGCCAGTCTGCTTTTTTCTTGTTTTCCATTTAATTGCCTTGTTTGCCTTTTTTCTTTTTTTCAACTATTCCACATTGAGATTTAGCAATGTTTTACATTCACTGTTATTTTTCTCTCAAAATGAATAAAAAGGTGATCCAGTGCACTCGTCACTATAAGATTTAGAGAGGATCAAATGTACACAATTTTACCTTGTATGCAGAGAGACTGTTTCCGCAATTTAAACTCCCGACATCAAGGTCGTAATCGAAAACCTTACTGCTACACCAAGGTCCACTCTGATGGGTAATATAATATTTGCTCTTGACATGTTTTCAAGTTCTCCATGTCTCATTGTCCTACTAACACTTGCTAATTTTCTATTTTATTGAAACTACAGCAATGGAAGATAAAAGAATCTCGTGGACTAGCAGTGCTGGGGTCTGTTGACTACAGCTCAATGGTTTTGACAACAAAGGTTTGTCACCTTACCCGGAAAATTCTATATAAGTTTTGTCATGAATTTTTTTTTTTTCAAAATTCCAACTAGAGCATGCCTAGGGGTGCAACTCGGGCAGGTCGGGTGGATTGGACAGTTAACCCTAGTGCAACCCTAAGTATATAATTTTCAATTCTAACCCTAATCCTAACCCTAACCTTACATCGAGTTGAGAAACTTAACCCAAGCACTGCCCGAGTTTAATTTGTGCATGTTCGGCTTGAATTCGGGTTAATGATTTCTGACTTATTTCGAATTACTTCAATCAAGTTTTTAACATAAAAACCATAATATTAAGAATGCAATGTTTGAGATAATGCAACCACAACCATACAGAACACAAATAAACACAATCAGAATCCTTGCACAAACGTAGAGTTCATTGTTCAAACATAAAGTTCATTACTTAAACAAAATTCTTGCACAACCAGAATTCTTGAGAGAGACTGAGAGTGAGTGAGGGTCTGAGGGAGGCGTACACTTGAGTTGATATTAACCCTAAGATAAAATTATATTTATATAGTATTAATTCGGGTTGAACCCGATGGCTCAACCCTAGGCCTACCCAAATTAAATTTGGGTTGAGATTTTTTGACCCAAGCCTAACTCAAGTATTAAAAATCTTAGCCCAAGCCCTAATTTTTTTAGATTGAGCTCGAATTAAAATTGGATTAGCCCGCTCAAGTTACAACCTTAGCCATGCCCAGCTCTAAGTTTCTTGAAGGGACAGGTTTAATTAATTCTAATCCTGTATGCTGGTATCTTGTTAACTTGTGGGGACTACATATTATTGTGTTGAGGATGAATTACACTTTGTACCTTAAAATTTTTTAAAATTTTCACTTTGTATCTTTAAAGATTAAATTTTTTATATTATATTCTTAATATATCAAAAGTGTTGCATTAGTATTAATAGGTTAGATTTTAGCGAAAAAAATAACAAAATCTAACAAAAATGGGCATATTATAATACTTTTCATACATTGAAGGTGTAATATGAAAAATTTAATCTTTGAAGGTATAGAGTACAAAAAACCATTGTTTTAATAATCAATTGAAAACCGATCAAATTTTGTCGAACTTCTGTCTCCCCCATAGACCTAGCCTTTTTAACTAATTTATCACCCTAGGTGGTTAAAATTCCAGTGAAATTGTTTTTCCTATTTTAAATTATTTGTCTTGCAAAAATTGACGGTATTTGACGTATTAGACTACCCGACTCTCGTAATCTAGAGATCAGAGGGTCAATACTTGTCAAAGACAGGAATTGATCTTGAACTTTGAGGGTTTTATTCTACCATTCTTTTGGGGTCACTTTCAAATTCCACTGTAGTATTGATTTGTTTTAACACTTGATGGTAACATTAATTTGTTTTGATTTTGTTGTATAGTGATTACTTTTGAACTTTATGGTGATACTGATGGGACTCTTCTGAAAAGCCTATGATGAAGACACGTGTCCTCGGGGTTTCTAGAACAATGTTGCTCGGGTTCGAGCACCATCGACAAAAGGCGTCCTCTCCCCCGAGGTACCTCTCATATAGGATCACATATTCGGTGCATTATACAATGACACGTGTCCTCGGTCACTGTGTATCTCGGAACATACCACCCTCGGTCCCCGAGGTGAGCCTTTCCTCGGTGCCGAGGGACACTCCATCCTGGACGCTTCCTCTACTCCCGGATAAAGCTACTGACGTACGGGACATCAGCCTATGCCAGTCTAGACTATTCATCATAACCTCGTCTTAACACAAGTAATGTCAGAACACGCTGGAATACCGACGTCACAACCAATAAGGGATGGACGTGTGGCAGATAATGTCATATCAGAAGCAGACAAACCGCATGCCGTCGCTGACACGCGACTTGGGAAAGCAAACAAATTAATTGCACCCTTCTGTTGACGAGACCGCATTCAATGCGGTAAGGTTCGGATATGAAAGGCAATAAATGCTCCTATTACAGAGCATTTATTGCATCCTTCCCGAAAGGAGCATATTGTACCGTCGGCGTCCCGACGGCTCAGCATTGATTGCTCGGGACCCCGAGCAATCAATTAGAGAAGACATTCCTCATCAAATCAATACACACGCTATCTGTGCCTGATGATCACCTGCTGACCACACTGACAGCAATCATGAGCTTCTAAGGTATAAATACTCCTCCCAAAAGGCAAAGCGGGTATGCAATCACAAACTCACTACTACAAAATATCCTTATCAGTGTTTTCTCCTTCCTCTCTCTCATTCAAAGACTGACTAGACCGTCGGAGGGGATACGCCGGAAAACACTCCGGCGCCCTTCTAACTTGTTCTCCTTTGTTCCAGGAAATACCTTTCACACGTACAGGATCGTTCTTCCTTTCCCAGGATCTTCCTTTGCCGTTCCAGGTTGCCACCGTTCCTTGTAGGCTGTTTCAAGCAGTGTGTTTGGCCGCTCAACCGGCTCACTCAAAGTTCACCAGGGGAGAGAGCTGTTCCCAATATTTTTATATTGTGCAGGATCTTGCACGCACAATCTGGCGCCGTCTGTGGGAAACGAGTAGTTTTCCTAATCTTTTCTCTATAAAGAACAGTGACCATGGTGAACACCAGACAGAAAGGGAAGGGACCCTACCAAAGGAGTCATGAGTTGCAAGCTCCCTGCCATCACGGGGGGAGGGATCGGACCAGTACGATTAAAAGTGCCTCTACTCGGTCAAGGGGGGTAACCCCCCAAACCAGTATGGGGATCAGGTCAGGAGGATCAGCCCCCTTGGCCCGTCAGCTGGCAGAGGTGATAGAAGAGAAATTTGGCGATAGATTACGTCAGCTGGAGAAAGACAATGTAAACGTCCTTAGCCGGCTCGACGAGTTTGCTGCCTCAGGCGGAGGGTCGAGGGATTCATTCCTCTCCCGAGGACTCCCCGTCCATGAGGCGGAGACAAAGGATCTAAGGAACCACCTGGATCACAAAGCAGAAAGCTCCAGGGCCCCGAAGCGACCCAAAGCCGGCGAATGCCATCTTGACAACCATTCCAGGAAAGCAAGGCCATTGGCCCTAGACGACCTCCGGCGAGGTTTATCCAGACGGAGGAAGGGAGATGAATCCGAGGAGGACTCAACCCAATCTACACGACGCCCAGGAACGAGGGGCTTACCGACGAACCCAGAGACTTCAGGAGGCATCCCGTAAGGGAAGAAGTAGATCTCAGAGCCCGATTAGACTCCAGAAGAAAGGGTAAGACGATCCAGGACGAGGCCGAGGACGAAGTCATGCAAACACCCTTCACGAGGGAAATCAGTGAGATGGATGTCTCAAGAAAGTTCGTCGTGCCACGGTTCAAGACCTATGATGGGCGATCTGATCCCGATGCCCATATCAGACAGTATAAGCAGATGATGTCCCTCTATCATTCGGACCAACGGTTTCTATGCCGGGTGTTCCCTATGAGCTTGGGGGACTCTGCGATGAGGTGGTTCGAGGCGCTTCCCCCAAACAGTATTGGGTCCTGGAAAGAATTGACAAGGCAGTTCCTAACCCGATTCATCACGGGGAGTAAGCGCCCCAAGGACATTGGATCACTGCTGACCCTCAGGAGGAGG